TTGCTTTTTTTAAAAAATGCATACGGCCACTATGGTTCCTGTAATGGGCAACAGGGTCAGAGAACCAATCAGAATGCCTTAACCTACAGAGAGCTTTGGGATGGCTAATTGATCATGGTGCCTAGGACTGGCATCGGTGGGCAAGCACGTGCATCACCCTGGAGCTGTATAAGTGAAGACCTCTCTCAACCTGTCACAATATAGAATCACATCCCGCCCCCAGTCCCAGAACTGGGCCAGTTCAAAGACCCAGAATTTCTTGAAGAGGCAGCCAGATATCCTTAAGGATCTGATAGTGCCGCAAATATATACAATCATTTTCCTTTTAGTTTTCCTCAAAAGGAACTGTGATCACTTACAAGGGTTACTGTGAACTGGGGAAAGGAAAACACCCAGATTGTTCAGGAATTACTGGAAACTAACTCTGAACTGATGCTAATTCCTGGGTACCCGAAATGCCTGAGTAGCAGCTTATGGAGGTCAGGTGGGAAATGAAGTTGGGCCAGTCAGCTTCACAGCTGGCCCACCACAATATTCCCTCAGATCCTGGACTCATGGTTGAAAAAGACATCCTTAGTAACTGGTGGGATTTCCACACTGGTTCCCTGACCCGTGAAGCAAGGTCTAGTATGGTGGAAGGGATGAGTATAAACCCCCAGAACTGCCTCTCTCCTCCAAAATAGTAAGATCAAAAGCAATACTGCATTACTGGAAAAATTTCAGGGATCAGTGTCTCATGACCTGTGTCCACCTGACCTGTGCAGAAGGCAGATGGTGGATTGTCACAAGCTTAATCAGATACTGACTCCAGTTGCAGCTGCTGTTCTAGATGTGGTTTCTTTATTGGAACAAATCAATTCGCCTCTCGTCTCTGGTCTGCAGCTATTGATCTGGCAAGTGATTTTTCTCTATACCTGCTGCAAAAATTACCAGGAACCGTTTGTTTTCAACTGGCCAGAACAGCAGTAGACCTTCATAGTTCTGTGTCAGGGCTATGCTACCTCTTCAGCTCTGTCATAATCCAGCACTCAGGAGATCATGATGGTCTACCACACCAATGGCATCATGCTGGCTGGACCAGGTGAGCAGGAAACAAAAGGTACCCAGATGTTTTGGTAAAACACACAAATGCCAAAGCATGGGAGCTAAACCCTACAGAAGTGCAGGGGCTGCCACCTTGAATTCTCTAGGGTCCAGTGACCTTGGAGTGTTTAGATGTACCCTCCAAGGGGAAGGATAACTTTCTGTATCTTACACCCACTACCACGAAGAAGAGGCAAGATGCCCAGTGAGCCTCTTTGGATTCTGGAAGCAACATTCACCACATCTGCTCATGCTCTTCTGACCATTTACTGTCAATCCATAAAATGCCAGTTGTGCATGAGGTCCAGAAGAATAAGAGGCTGTCTTAGTCATCTAGTGCCACCATAACAGAAATACCACAAGTGGATGGTTTTAACAAAGAGAAATTTATTTCTTCACAGTCAAAGTAGGCTAAAAGTCCAAATTCAGGGCGTCAGCTCCAGGGGAAGGCTTTCTCTCTCTCAGCCTTCTCCTCAGTGTTCCCCCAGACTAGGAGCGTCTCTGCGGACCCGGTCCAAAGGACGCACTCTGCTCCCGGCACTGCTTTCTTGATGGTACGAGGTCCCCGTCTTTCTGCTCACCTCTGTATTTTATATCTCAAGAGATTGCCTCAGGACACAATCCAGTCTTGTAGATCAGGTCCTGCCTTACTAACACAACTGCCACCCATCCTCCCTCATTAACATCGTAGAGGCAGGTTTACAACATACAGGAAAATCACACAGTACCAGGAATCATGGCCTAGCCAAATTGATACACACATTTTTTGGGAGACATAATTCAAACCATGACAGAGGCTCTCAGCAGGTCCAGGCTGATGTGGATGTGCTGCCCCTCAGGCCGTGGTACCAGTAAGGGCCAGCAGTATACCAAGTGTCTGTGGATAGCCAGATGCTACACAGCCCCTAAGGGTTCTGGGGTATCACCCTCTTCTGCAGATGCTTACTCTCCTCCTGAGTCAGCACTTGGCTGGCCTTCTGGGCCCTGGTGTAGACTGAAATGCTACACTTGACCATGGACTCCTAGTGACCATGTACCTCCAGCTGACTGTCATACGCTGTTGTCTGCCCAGCCCAGTTGTTGCCCAGGCAATAGCAGCACTCCTCTGGTAAACTGAAGAACATATACAAACGATTGGCCTTGAGCTTGTCCGGAAGACACAAATTCCATAAGCCAACACTTCAGATTCTCCAGGCACCCACACTGCTGCACAGCCATCTCTCCGTCCTCTTGTTCCCACGACTTTATGGAGTTTCCTGCAACAAGTTGCTTGAAGTAAAGGTAAAAAGTGGCAGCATGACAGCCCACTCACTGGTGGCCCTACAGACAGTGGGGAGAGACACCCCACCAGCTGGCATATCTTCAAGTGCCACATTGACTGTTCACTTTGCCTGGAAGGAGAGATGGCCACAAGTATGGACAATGAGTAAAAGTTTGGCTGGGTTGTCACAGTCTTGGAAGCAACATGACTGGATAATTGGCCACAAGTGGTATCTTAACTGTTGACAAGGACAAGAAAGAGGGAAGGGTTAGACCTCTTGAATGAGCAGAGTGTGAGGGTACTTGTACCCCAGTGAATGCTCCATTGGCAAGAACTGCAGAGAATGCTCTCAATAATCAGGTGGGTGTCAGCCTCTCTCCAGCCACCCCAGCCCTTGCTCAATAATTTCATAAGCAAAGTAGACATGGCAGCAGGGAAGGAGGTCATAAATGGTTTCAACAAAATGGCTTTCCTCTCACCAAGTCTGATCTGGCTATGGTCCACTGTTAAATGTCCAATCTGCTAATGGCAGAGACCAAAAGGGTTGCTAGTACGGAAAAATTATCCAGAAAGAACAGCCAGCCATCTGGTGTCAGGCTGATTATATTGCATTCCTTCCATTATAGATGGGGCCATGATTTTTCCTCACTGAAACAGATCCTCACTCTGGAAATAGATTTGTCTACTTTCTTTGCCCACTATGCTTCTGCCAGCACCACTGTCAATGGACTTGAAGAAAGTCTTACTCACTACAATGGCTGCTTACAGCATCACTTCTAGAAGGTACATTTTACAGAAGTACAGCCATGAAGTCCATGGCATACATTGGTCTTAGTATGTACTCCATTACTTCAGAGCAGCTAGCCTGGTAATAAGGTGGCATGGCCTCCCAAAGACTTGATTATGATGCCAGCTGGGGCTAGGCTGCTATCCCATGATGTGTCTCGGGGTCTGAACCATCAGCCAACACATAGTAAAGCTTCTCCCACGGTCAGAACACAGAGGTTGAGCAGCATGTGACGTGGGAGTGATTCCCCTCAGTACACCCTCATGAACCACCAGCAACACTGTGTATTCTCATCTCACAGTTTGGACTCTGCTGGTTTAGATGTCTTCATTCCCAGATAAGGGATGCTTCCACAAAGTGGTGTTCCACTGACCTGCAAGCTGAGCCTGCCACCTGGCTACTCTGGACTCCTCATGCCAATGACCAACGGACAAGGAAGAGTTTGCTTTAACTGGGGTGATTGTTCCTGATTATCTTGGGGGAAATAGTGCCACTGCCATAAAAGGGGGGGAACCTCTTAGTATTCCCATGTCCAGTGATGTCAATGGAGAACTACAGTTACCCCAAAACATGACTTCTAATGGGAAAGACCTTCCAGGAATGAGGTTTGGGTCAACCTACCAAGTGAAGAACCAAACCAGCAGAGCTGAGTGGCTGAGGGCAGAGGGACATGGAATGCATAGAAGAGGAATTCTTAAATACCAACTTCTGCCAAATCACCACGTGTAAAAACAAGGTACACAGTACTTCTGCATGTGTTTCGCTGACTGATAAACATATAGAAATATACAAAAAAATCAGTTCTTTTTTCCCCTTTCCGTGGCACAGTGGTTAAGAGCTTGCCTGCTAACTAAAACGTCAGCAGTTCAAATCTACCATCTGCTCCTTGGAAACCCCATGGTGCAGTTCTACTCTGTCCTATAGGGTCACTATGAGTCAGAATCGACTCAACAGCAATGGTTTTTTCTGTATGTTTGTTTGTTTTTTAGGGTGCAGTACATCAGAGGGAGGTTGGACTGTGCCATAAAAAGAAAGACCATCTCTCAGAGACAAGTACGCTGTTACAGGGGTGTGGGGGCCTTGTGCCTCCACTTCCGGGGAGAGGATGAACACATCTTCAACTGTACAAGGGAAAGTGCACCATGTTAGGCAGAGAACAATGTTGTTACTGTCTTTGCCCAGAAGTTTAGTTTAAAAAAGAAAAAGGGGGGTGGGCGGGAGGGTGCTGAGTTGACAGAGGATAGATGGACTGTGCTGTTGTCACATGCTGCCCCCCAGGTCTCCTCTACATGGACCTCTGGTAGCAGAGAAGCCAGAGATGCACACCTTGGGTGACCATTCCTTGTCTGGTGCAGCTCAGAGACATGGGAGGTGGGACAGAAGAGAGGCCGTCATCCACTGAGGGCAGCTGCAGCCACATGCACAGGCAGGTGAGGTTCACACAGCTTCCCGGTGATTTCCTGAGGACCACCTGCTTTACTGCAGCTGCCAACTGAAGTAGGTGGTGGGAGCTGCCCAGGTATTGTAGAGAATTCCGGTGGCTTCCCAGTGACTCTTGAAGATCACTGGCTTTAGTTCTTGCAGCTAAAATTATTGGTGGTGGCTTCTCTGGTCTTCACTCCTTCTTCTGGTTTCCATACTAAGCTCTTCCAACCGAGAACACACCCACCACCCGTCTGTCAGCTTGTCCTACTGTGGTGGCCTGTGGGTTGCTGTAGTACTGGAAGCTATGCCACCAGTATTTCAAAAACCAGCAGAGTCACCCTGCGGGCAGGTTTCAGCAGAGCCTCCAGATTAAGAAAGACTAGGAAGAAAGTTCTGGCAATCTACTTCCAAAAATTAGCCAATGAAAATCTTACGAATTGTCCAACTTGCTTGCTTTGGATATGTCATCAGAATGGATCAACTGCTGGAAGAAAACATCATGTTTGTTGAAGTAGAGGGCCAACAAGGGTGAAGGAGACTCTCAGTGAGATGGACTGACACAAGAGGTGCTATGATGAACTTGAACATGCCAGCGACCTTGAGGATGACACAGGACCAGGCAATGTTTCATTCTATTGTATATAAAGTTGCCTTCAGTCGAAGTTGACTCGACGGCAGCTATCCATCCACCCACCCAACCAACCATCCATCCATCCATCCATCCATCCATCCATCTACCCACGCATTCACCCATCCATCATGTACTCATCCATCCATCATCCATCCATCCATCCACCCAGCCATCCATCCATCCATCTACCCACGCATTCACCCATCCATCATGTACTGATCCATCCATCCATCCATCTACCCACCCACCCATGTATCCATCCATCCACTCATCTATCCATCCATCCATCCATCATCCATCCATCAATCCATCCATCCATCCACCCACCCACCCCATTGATCCATCATCCATCCATCCATCTACCCACCCACCCATGTATCCATCCATCTACTCATCTATCCATCCATCCATCATCCATCCATCCATCCATCCATCCATCCATCCATCCATCCATCCATCCACCCACCCACCCCATT